TACAAAGTAAAATTACATATATATGTATATATATATATATATATAAATTACAAAATAATCTTACAGCGCACAATCCATTACAGAAGGTTTTGCAGCCAAAACAAACTCTGCAGTGTTCAACGCAATGCCATGCACGCAGACAGGCAATTCGCACTCACAAATGAGAACTGCACGAGCAACACGTCCCCTGCACCACACACACTTACACATACATAGCATGCTATACTTGTAACGATACCAACACAACACAACACAACACAACACACCTTCCCGCGCAGAACACCCAGTGAGAAGAGTGTGGTACGTTGCAAGGCTTGTGCACGCTTCACGATCTCATTCAACACGTGTACAACTGGTTCGCCCTCATCTCGAGAGCTCTCAGCGCCCACCGCAGTCAAGGCAGCGTACAGTGATTGGTCTGAGCGAAGCACGGTATGCTGTCGACTGCCATCGGGGAGTTGGATCACCTGGTAAATGGTATAGTGGAGAGTACGTACGTGTAGCGTCGATTTCGAAATCATATAGAGGATGGTAGAGTGGTTTTGAATGGAGAAACACCCAGAGTGCGAAACATTGGATCGCAAAGGGCACGAAATATATCAATTAGAGAGATAACGATGACGGTATAGATATATAAAAGATATATATATATATATATTAATGTTATGTTCGAGTATATATATACATGTTTGTATGTATGTGCCTATGTATACACATTATATATATATATATATATATATATATATATATGTATATATATATATATATATATATATATATATATATATATATATATACGTATATACGTATGTATGAAAGCATGATAACTATTTGTAATATATATATATATCCACGCAACCTAGCAAGTGCAGTACATACCGCCGTCACACTCTCCATACCCATCGGCTGCTTGAGTGAATACAACTCCAGCCTAGCATTATTAGGAATGCCATTTAACTTCATGTTCGATCCCAAGTCCTTAATAGGTTTATTCTGAAACTTCAATCCGTGTACATTGTACGCTAAATCAAGCTTTGCACAAACATCCAGCAGAACTTTAGCAACCGGCTGTGACTGTGAGATGAACATACTCTGTGCCCTCCCTTTATGAAGAACATTGATTTTGAGTGACATTTTGTGCGAATGAGTACGCTGAGGCAAAATCGATTGGATTATCCCGTTGTAGGCTTGTGCTATGAATGTATACTTACTTAGTTACGTTATGTACAAGAAGTGTGTGCACACTGCGCAACCTATCCGTATGCAGATAGTTACGCATGTAAGTATTATCAAAATATACTGATATGCACATAGCGAGAGAGAGCTTTGATTACGAGTTCGTATGTACAGTGACTGTACATATTTTTTTCTATTTTTTTTTTGCTTATTATTTTTTTTATTGACTGTGGCAATCGTTTTTTGCTGCAAATAGAATACAGCTATATATGTCATCGGTTTTGCTAAAAATAGGATAAGCTGTCGCTTCAATGGGGGTAGCCAATCAATCGAGCGCTCAAGTGATAGACAGGCTGTGATTGGTTAAACAAACAATAGTTCGCATTCACGGCTGGCACAGATCGAATCAGTCAATAAATAAATATCGATCGAACACTCGACTTCACTGATTCACTCACGCGTGCTTGCGGGGGCCTGATGAGTCAGCCTCTGTGAGGTGGTGCTATTCAAGGGGGCGGGGCCGGGGGGGCGGGTAGAGGAGGAAAGACAAGAGGTTGGGGTCTTGAGTATTGGACCCTTAGGGATGGGAAATACGAAAGCAGCTGTTGTATGTATGGTACATCACATCAATAAATGTGTAAATAGTATAGATGTATACGATACGAAATACAGACACTTGGTGCTGATGCACAAGTGAAATGAACGTCAGATATCTATAATGTCGATAAATGAGCATCTTTCCGCCACCAGATCAAGTTGCCTAATGTCCAATACATCGCCTCGAAGGGATGACTCACTCACATCGATTGATGGTCTTCCGTTGCTTAGCCATGATAGAGACCGTGACGGTAACTATAAGAATAATTTTACTATTCTGACTAATGAAGATGCACACTATTCGCAGGTATGGCTCGATAAGCCCTTTAGAAGACTTGAATCACACAAACCTTATAGAGTTTATATATTTATATATATATATATATGTGTGTGTGTGTGTATGTATATACATATA